AAGCACAATTGTTAGTTTCTCTAAAGTCATTTTTGCTTATTAGTACGGTTGAACTAGATCAGCAAAGGTCAGCAGCAAAGACATCAGTTAATAAAATGGGATTAGATACATTTGTGTTATTTACCATATTTAATTATTGCAGGTTTGCTTCATATTCTGAGTTTGCATTTCACTGTTTTAATTGATTTTGATGAATACTAAATCTGTTTTTTGTGAGTGGGATGAATTAGAACTACAGCAGCATCATGTTCACACAGCGCACACAACTCCTCTGTACTCCCGATTTCTCCCAGTGTGGGGACAGGAGAGCTGTCAGTCAATAAATGGGAAAACAAAGTAACTGGCATTACTTTTTTGAAAAAGCAACTCAGATATTTTCTTGTAAATTAAAAAAGTAATGCGGTACTTTACTAGTTACTTGAAAAAAGTAATCCGATTACGTAACTCGCATTACTTGTAATGAGTTACCCCCAACACTGAATATACCCATGCTTTAAATGCATCCATAATTATAATAAAAAAAGAAAAAGATGAAAATGTATAAGAAATATTTGAAAGTTAAATGATACATATAATTTTTAAATATTCATAATAGTAATCGTGTTAAAATATAAATATTCATTTTGTTATAATTTTCATAAAGTTATTTCAAATATCATTGTAAACCATTTTTTTGTGGCCATGCATATAGAAGTACTGCAGTCCTCTACTGCTACCTACAGTTATGTTCCTTATCCTTTATTTTGTTTATGTGTTTAATTATTTATTTATGTATTAATATTGTCAAAGAAAAACAAAACAAAATCAAGTTTGATTCATAAATTTATTTTCAAAGATGGCAAAATTATTAATAAATTTGTCAAAAAACCATATAATTGTTGAAAACACTGCACCCGGATGAATTTTGACAGTCTATGTATGTGTATATATATATATAACAAGTACTGAATGGAAAGGAAAAAGAAAGAAAAACATGGAAAAATAAGAGAACTGAGTGAATGATGGAGCACCTGTGGGTAAATCTGTCTGTTCTGATTATGAAAAAATGGAGCCAGCTGCTACAGAGACACTAGATGGCAGTAGTTAATAAAGAACTGACCGATGCCACCCATCCCAGGTCAAGAACTGTCCAGCTATGATTAAAATTGTATTATGCCATTCCTAAAATAGCCAGACCTCAATTATAAAGTTCATTCTAAGTTTATTAGATTTTAAATAATTTAGTTGCAAATATCAAATAAACATTATATCTTAGAACCAAACATAAAAAGTACCTAAACATACAGTACAACGAACTCTTTGAAACGAAATGAAAAGCAATGAATAAATCTATTTGTCTGCAATCTCAAAGATGTATTAAATAACATAAACCATTATGACATCCAATCTAGACTTTTGTTGCTCCAGTTATTTAAGCACAATGACAAAGAAAAGAATAGCCAGCAAAATTTCAGACTTGTTCTTTTCTTTCTTCAGATAATTTAGCATCTCCGTATCAAACTTGTAAACGTCACTTCTTTAACAGGGTTGCGTCACAAGATTTAAAACCTGAAACTCTCACTCGTCCTTGCTTTAAATCAAACATTCAGCTTATTTACTTTCCTGCACTTCAATATGCCCAAGACAACTAATACTTCATTGTTACTTGTGTAATTGCTCTCCTTAAAAGGCATACAGTTGTGTAATATTGCAAATATAATATTGTAAGCGCAGGTTAGATAACAATAGTTCCATCAAATAATTTAATGCTCAAATAAGACCTTTTTATGTAAATGCATGACCATATATTGTTTGCTGAATATCATATAGCCCATGTTTTTTTTCCAATAAATTACTTGTAAAGCATTTAATTGCACATTGCCATCGCTCTTTCCAAAACTACTAAACAGAACCAGCTGCCCTTTATAGTTTTTGTCACTAGTATCCAGAGTCTGTTGCTCTGTTGGTAACATCTCCTCTTGCATCAATATCCGCCTTCTCAAAGACGATCTTACTGGAGAAATACACAGCCACCAGACTCAATAAAGATGCACAGGCCATGTATGCGGTCACACTGTGGAAGAGCTGCACGATGGAGCCCATGAAGAGGGACGGGACCACCTGAGACAGCAGGTAGGCACTGTCTAAAATGGCGATGTCTGTGCCCATGCCTCTGAGGGCTGAGGGTTGTGGGTCCATGGTGATAGACACATGCAGATCAAGTGATTGTGAGTTTTTTATATTGCTATGGAAGGGTATTGTACCTTGATACCCATTGATGCACCCATTAGTTATTTTCTGCTTAGTCGAGGACAGCAACTCTGATCTGACTAGCATTAGATCTTCTTCGCTGAGAGGAAAACTGTGCCTGTCGGTGGAGAAAAAGACCTGGAAATTGAAAAGTGCAATTGTTTAGGATAAATACAGATTAGCATGGGAGATATACAAATGCATAAGGTTTGTTTGAAGCTCTTACCTGTGCATTTGAGTGGTATAGACATGTGAGTGTGTATGGCAGAAT